CCGCGTTGACAAGGGCTTTGGGCCCAACGAGACAGCCGCTCTTTCCCCCCCGCCTCGGGTTTTGCCCAAAAACAGATTAAAGCAGCTTAAAAGTCGACGGGCGGCGGTGGGGAGTGGGCGAGGAGAGGCAGGCTGTACCCCGAAAGCATCCGTGGTCTTCCTCAAGCCCGGCATTTCACGGGCCGCAACCTTCTCCAGACCCAATTCCTTCCTTTATTACCTGAACCGAAGCGGACGCGCTTTTATTTCAAATTACAAAAGAAATCGTTATAAACGACGTAAAGGACGGACGATTGTGGGGTCTCGGCTCTGCCTGGTACGAACTCAACCTACTTACTGCACGGAAGAGAGCAATCCTCGAGCTCCAGCAAGCTTCGATCGGCGGAGCTTGAAAGAGAAAAGACGCGGAACGAGGAGAAAAATCTTCTATTCCAGGAAAACTCCTGGAACAGCAACGGCTCGTGGCGGAGGAGGGGAGCGGTGGGAGCGTTCGACCACCAGGGCAACGTCCCCCCTTCGGAGGGTAAAACCGGGGCGAGGGCGTGATGCCGCCCCCCCCCCCAAAAAAAATCTCCCCGTTCCAGGCTCAGCCACGCGTCTTGCTCCTCGAGGGATTTTATTTATTTATTTTCCCCCTTTAATCCACTTAAACCCAAGAAATTCCACGGTTTTGAGGCATGCGAGGAACAACCTCCTCTCGTTCGCGCCGCCGCTGCCGCGTGATTCCATTTGATGCTCCCAGCTGGCGGCCGCAACGCCTAGAAAAGGCGCCGGAGGGGACAGAGCAGGAGCGGAAGCGTTGCGAGACAGTCTGAGGCGGGGGAAATAACAGCTCCCAAGAGCGGAGAGGGTTATTCCAGCCCTCTCGGATGCCAGGAGGGCACAAGCAGAGGCCGATAACGTGTTTTAACAGAATTGGGAAAAAGAGTCCGACAAAGAGAAGCCCAGCGATTTTAGAGAGAAGGGCTGAACAAACGCCCGAGCTGCTTCTGTCGGATCGTCTGCGGGATGCGGAAGATGGATGGGTGGCACCTAAAGGAAATCGTCGCCCGCTAAATCTGGAAGTTATCCCAGCGGCCAGGTATTAGAGCAGAGATAAATTGATTTCCCGATTCTAGAAGGAAACGGGAGAGGATTTGAGACCTGTGGCCACTTCAGCACGTTGATTGGAGACTCACGG